AGGGGAGGAAGTCTGGTACTTCTTATAAGGGCATTTTCTAGAAGATTGAGCTTCAGTAGCCAGACCCATTCTCGTACTCCTGCTTTGGACACAAACCCAGAAAGCTTGACTCGGGAGCCTATCTGCCCTAACTGGCTACAAAGGGGACGAGCAGGGAACACGCAGGCACCAGAACAGGTTTTCAAAAATAATCCCAAATAAAGACAAAGTACTCCTCACCTGGCCATCTTTCAGCATGGTGTTGACAGCAACAGGGACGCTGCACCCACCCTCCTGAAACAGAAAGCAGCTGACACTGAGGCTCCTACCTGATGCCTTCAGAGCAGAGGCCTCTGAAAAGTTGAGGCTGCACATCACCCCGCCTATCGCTCTGTAGGCCCTTCTCGATTCACAAGGAGTCTCTACTCGATTTCCTGTACTACGGTGTCGGGTCAACTAGCAGAGCGGTATTTACTGCTGCAGGCAGAAGAGCAAGGACGCCACACCTACCAAGCGTTTCATGAAGGCTCTCTCAGCGATGCAGCGTAACACAGTGTCTGCATCATGCAGGGCAGATACCATGTTCAGTATCTCTTGGTCTTTGGCACGAACTTCCACCGCTAAGGCACCCTAGAAGAAGAAAAGGGAACACGGAACGTGACAATCTTCATAACTCCTCAACTTCACGCATCTCTTGCATGCGCTCAACATCGGTCACAAAACGGGACTCGGAGGTTCGGATGCACTTCACTAAGGGAGTGCTATTTGGACGTTTCCAGAAATGACCTGCAAAACAATCCTCTGGCTGCAGAGACATCCTATAGCAGCTGCTGTAAAGGGAAAATCGGAGCTTACTTGAGCCAACCGTTCGAGATGCTGCTGTCACCTCAAACCACCCTAGAACCTACCTCAGTTATGACTGCATATATAGAAATTCCCACCCCAATGTCCCTTGGTGACGAGAACGCTGGATAAATCCAAGCTTCCCAATCTTAAGATAAAGGTAAAGTACCAAATGAGTCACGGTGACAAAACAATTCTTTCCTAAACTGGAAAAGAGACTCGGGGCAGAGGGGGAGGGAGGACGACACAGACCACTGCACCGTACCTGACCAACGCATTATCAAAATCACTATTTCAGACTAAATTTGCAGATTCATCGCTTGCAATCGCTAACACGTAGCCAGCTCAGGTTTAGCAAGCTCAAGACCCACCGTGCAACGCGGCGTAAACTCAGACACGCGGCCAGCAAAGGCAGAAACTGTTTGCCTGCCTAGAAACAAGAGCGCTAACAATGTGCTCCAAGGCAGGCGTTTCAGCTCCTCCCCACGGGACAGAGGTACGCGGTGGCTCTGCACAACTATCCCGGTACAGCGCAACACTGACCCTGCCAGAGCCTGCCCCGTATCTGCCGCGTCACCCTGGTGTTCCACAGGTTACCTTTACCCTTTACTGTTTTTCCATTACTGATGGAAATCAGCCCTCCCCCCCACCCCGGGTAACAGAGCCGACCACCATCCTTCCCATGTAACAGCCAACAAAAAGAGATCGACGTAGCGGCAACCAACGCACAAGAAGCACTGGGCACCATTAACTACTCTGACACATCGTACTGCTGCCAGCTTTCAATAGGCAGTGCGACTTAAGATACAAAAGTTGTAACATACCTGTCCAACAGCGTACAGACAATCTTCAGGGCTTAGGAGCTGGAAGAAAGCAAAATCTGACTTAACCCAAGTTGCGCCGTTCAGAATATAGGAAGCAAGAGCCAAATTCTACGCTCAGCTTTAACACCAATCGATGTTATGCCTGACCAAAGAAGTATCACCTCCCCCTTCCCACGCTTCTGCGTTTCCACCCCTAAAGCGAAATAACACACCTTCCTCCACCTGGACTGCAACACCTCGCGAGTTAGCTTGTCAGAAAAATCTTAGTCACGCACACGGCTGTGTTGCTAGACACGAGCATTGTGAAATGCCGGGAGACGATCAGATGACAAACTTACTGCACCGTGCAATGCTGAACAGTATAAAGTTCCGTACACAGAAAACAAAACCAACCGGCCAAAAAAAAAAAAAAAAAAAAAAAAAAAAAAATCTTCCCTGAAACACATTAAATCACGAGCTAATGCGGCAATGGATTCAGCAGACAGCATGCTTTGACGGGACAACCGCGAGGTCTGAAAGGCAAGCGGCCGACGGTTCGGCAGAGAATGGTATTTTCTGCTTTGCTGCTCCTCACCTGGCCAATGCGATTCTCCCAGCCCATTCTCTTCAACCCAGCAGCAGCCAGGATGATGGCACCAAAGTCTTCCTTCTCATCTAGCTTCTTTAAGCGGGTATTTAAATTCCCTCTCTGTAGAGGTGATTAAGCAAGCATAGAAAAAGCAGGCAAACAGTCCTATAACCACTTAACATTCGCTCGAGCGCGTTTACAGGATGTACAGAATGCAACTGCCTCCAAATGAGAATCAGAGCACCGTCCTGAAAGAAGGCTTAAACGTGGACAATTGTTTCTTTCAATAGTGAGCATTGGGGAATATTAATTCAAGCACCGACTCTCAAAAGATACACACATCATGCAAGTACATTATTAACTCCCAGCACCAACTCCTTTTGCATAGCAAAGAACTAGGTTACCAGGTGCCCGTTACCACTAGTTCAGCGGCCCACATCGGAAGCAGCGGCCCAAATCGCATCCGGGGCATTGGGAACAAATCGGCATTTAGCCGCACCACTGTGACAAACACAGAGTAGGCACGTTCCTTAACGTAAAATTCATCTGCCTCCTGAAGCTCAGGTAGATTACAGCTGGCCGCTTCTTTACAGCCTCGTGAGAAAGCAGAGGACAGAGCGGGCTATGGTACGCTACGCACATCTCTCAGAGTAGGTCAGTGGACGGCAGCCTTTGAGGAAGCAGTTTGTTCTGGTCAGTGGGTATAAATCGGCCTTTGATTTCGCACAAAGTTACGTTTTCCCGTTTGCAGCTTTACCCAGCTCCCACGTTTTGCCAGGAAAGGATACAATATCCCTGAATTCTAACTGAGGGAACTTCTTCTTGAGCTGGGCCGCTCTCCGAAGCGAACTGGTTCCAATCACACTGTGGGAAAAATAAACAACAATGAAATCCAGAATACTTCTACGCTCAGCTCCGGACAGAGACATGTCAGAAACTTTCAGGAAACAAATTACATCCTTTTTTTTTTTTTTAATTTGAATTGAAATGAAGATCCAAGAACCTGCCAACGATTTCTATCTCCTTAGAAGAAAGAAAAGCACTCTGAGGTTTATCATAAAGCCTGGCTGTAGCATAAAGCCTGGCTGTAGCTAGGTGCAGGCAAGCCACTCCTGGGGAAATGGATTTACAGGAGGTGCTTCCAGAGGGCAGCCCCTAGCCACCGTCAAGGACTAATGAAATCTCATTTAAAGGCCACAACACTTGTCACAGAAAGGGGAGAAAAGAAAAAAAACAAAAAACAAACAAAAAAACCCCCAAACAAACAAGCAAAAAAAAACCCACCAAAAAAACGGAAGACTCAGCTGCCCCAGACTGAACCAGACATAGCCAGACAACCAAAAAATGGGGGGACTTCATCCATGGCAGAAATGCAGCGGGAGGAGAACCTTCAGAAAGGGCAGGGTGCGTAACTGGAAACCACAGAAAACTGCCAGTCTGGGCAGTAAGCATTTCCCTTCTAGAGATCTATGCTGTTCACTTTTCTCGGTACCCTGGAAACTAAATCAGACTCAATTTTCCCGCTATCCAGATGCGCAGAAGCACGCGTCTGCGTTTGCGTCACAGCCGGTTTATTTCTTCTACTTTAATGTAGAAAGGCGCTTTTTTTTTCCCCTAATAGTTACCTTGATCTGAGTCATTTCACTCAGCTGCCTCAGACAAAAGACTCCAACAACCTCTATGAAAAGGCAGGTAATTCAAAATGGAGGAACTTCTCACGCTCCCAGCAGAACCGTAAGACAGCAATGCCGAAAAAACAACAAAAAATTCAGAACTGACTGGGTGAGAACAAGAGCGTAGTTCAGGCCCGTGCAAGCTAAAATACTGCACGGGACGCCCCACCTACATCATGTGCATTCCCCTGCAGTAAGCACAAGACAAAGGAGCAGGAATTCACTTTGGAGATTGCCATAAGAAAGGGTCAAACTCGAGAAAACACTGCAACCGAAGGGCGGCTCGAGAGATCCAACCTCAGCCGGCGTGCAGCACCCCCGTGAGACAGCGTTGCTCTTTTCAGCAAGCGGGTTCAGCATAACGTCTACGGAAAGCTAACGGAAGGCAGCGTAAAACCACCACAGAATAAAGCAATTGCCTTGCCGCTGGGAAGCATGACCAACTCCCCCCTTCCGTTTTTACACCTGACCGTCTTCCCCTTCCTCTCCCCACTCACCTCTTTTCGGGAAGGAGGCTCAGCGTTTTCCCACAGTTTTTGGGATGAAAGACAACAGCATCGAGCGGGTTTTCCCTTCTGCAAAGTAACACAAGCACAGAACGGCTGATGCATCATTTAACGGAAGGCTGTTAAGCTTAACGGTTCTGCTATCGGTCCCCAGAGGAACCGCCTCTGGCTCCAAATACCCCATCACCATTGTAAAAGCAAGAGCTTCCAGCAAACCTGCTGGCTACGGAACGCTAGGACAGCTCTAGCGTCTCCACCGTTTCAGAGATTAATCAGAGGGTTGTCGAACTTTAAACACCCAGAAGGACCTAAGCAGCCTTTGCTCTCCTACCACTGCCAACACTGCAAAATCTAAGTCCCTCAGAGAATCAAGCCTCGCATCCACACTTACTTGCAGACAGCGCCTATGGTAAAGCCAGGAGGAAGAGAAGTTGGCAGGTCCTTCAAGGAGTGAACCACGAGGTCGACTCTAAAAATTAGAGGACAGTAATCGCTGAGCAGATGCTCGAGTTCACGCAGTACCTACGAGAGACCTGCAGGTCACCTATACAGAAAAGGCAGATCCGCCCCGGGAATTAATTTGGAGAAGAGGGAGGAATCTCAGGATTCTATAGCCAGAATTACTACAGAACTCAAGTGTCACTCCAGAAAAGCCACTTCACCTCTCTCTGTCTCTCTCTTCCCACCTGTAAAATAAAGACACTGCCTTCCTCCCAGCAGCGATGCAAGACACACTGCACCACTCAGGTCGAACCCATTCTCCTGCATATTTAGCACGCAAATACGTTAATAAATGTTAACACGGCAACACTAGGTGTGTTATGCAGTACGTTAACGCCACCAAGAAAAGTATCTTTAAGAGAACATACTCGTAAGCAGAAATTAGATTAGATTGCATCCTCTCCGAGGCACACATAACACACAAGTCACGGGGCGGGAGGGGGGGAACCTAACCGGGGCAGACCGAGTGACGCAGCAATACAGGGCCTAAGCCCGGGGGGTGGGGGAGAAAAAGACAATGACTTATCAAAGGTTTTCTTAGCCAGAGAGGTACCAAAACAGAAGGAAACCAGATCGCATAAGCAGCGAGCCAAAGATGTCCAAAAAGCAGCTCGAATAGCAGAGAAGGAAGAAAAAACAATGAGCTCTTACTCATTTCTTTCGAGTGCATTTTCCAGCTCTTTGGTGAAGAGGCTCTTCTCCCCAATCTACACAGAAACGGAGAAATGCGAATCACAGAAGAAAAATCTGCAAATACATCACCATATACAATCGCATCTTGCGCAGAGGAAGAGAACCACCTTTACCTTGGAAAGTGCTGTGTCCAAGATCTTGTCTCCGGTTGTTGACATGGCAACTGCTCAGAGAGAGAGCACAAGTTAAACGCGAGGCTTGGTCAGAGCGCATAGGTCTAGCCTAGAAATATCGGCATAACACGTAACGAGCGCTACAGCCTGACGGGCTACTGTACAAACACAGACTCGAGATAAACACGAGAGCAGCTCACTGCTAGAAATACACTGCACTCGAGGCAAGTGAAACCGAGGCTTCCTTCACCGTCCTCAAAAACGGAGCGAGGGGAAAGAGGGCAGGTTTTGCAAAGAGCCGACCCAACAGAAATTGCCACAGTCTTTCTCTGAACTGCCAGCTAACAGGCACTCAGCAGCTCTCTTCAGCACAAGGGCGGGCTCCCGTTACTCCCACGCTGTTGAGCGCCTCAAGCCCCGGACAGGAAAATGTCCCTAATGCGTAGCGGGGTGCAGCCAGAGCGATACCGGGTTCTCAAGCGGAGCAACGTAACACCGCCTGCATGACATACTCAGAGCATCAGAAGCTTATGAAATCCACCTTTCTCCCCTATAAGAAACCAGCAGCAGTGGCTCATCCGCACAGCCTAACTCTTAGATAAGCGGGGCGGAATCCTCCTCATCCTCGTGACGGCACTCTACGCGCACCTCTTGCACGCAGAGATAAGAGGCTGGCTCCTGCCGCCGTCTAACCCGGGGCAGCATCCCAAAACAACTTACCGATCTCAAAGTGGAGGTCGGGGTATAGCTCACGGAGCATCTCGACCACGCTGTCAGTCTGAATCCGGGCCAGCTGCAATGAAGCAGAAAGCAAAACCCCATACCGAGAGCACATCATCAATATAGGAGCTAGAGAGGACGCTGCCATTCTTCGATGGTCAGGCATGCGTGACCGCTACATTCTCTACGTCGAAAGCATTAGAAATGAGTAGCCCTAAGGAAAATCACTCGTAGGGACAAACTCCTTGAACCACGTGAACTCCTACCGTGACCAGAGCATTTCACCAAAGAACTTATTTTATCAACTAAGTGGCAGAATAACATCTCCCCCTGTCCAGTACCATTGCGATCCAAGTACAGACACGGCAGGGCAAAGCAAAGCATTTATCGAGTTATGAAGGGCGATGACAGCAGAATACTACGTGTCAGGATTCGCATGCTCTACTTCCAGCCGTGTTATTAAGGTCGCGAGCTGTCCCCCAGTCAGAAACTCTATTTCTCTACACCGCCTCGGCACCCTTACTCATAGACAGCGTTTACCTGCCTAGCTTTGAGAGGCTCGGTTTCACCTCTACGGGTTGCGACCGCCTGCTCGGGCAGAAAGGTAAGCAAAAGCATCCTCCCATTGCTCAGGAACGGAAGAACGAGTTGTATCGCGCGCCGGGTGCCCTGTGCTTTTTCTAGGAGTGTCAATTTTACTGATACTGCAAATCTGGGAGAAGCCAGTAGGATTTCACCGTGCCGCTGGAAAAATCTACAGTTATTGGCAAATAAGAGTTACTTATCCTCTGTGAGACGGGAGCTCTATTCAGAGGTTCTGTGGACAAAAATAAAAGTAACGGCTGTGCCTACGCGCACAGCAAGCGACAGATGTTAAAGCAGTAAAGTGCGGGAAAAATATTCCCTCGCAGAAGAACAGCACAAGCAAGTAAAACACCACCAGAATTACACTAGCGGAGGATCATTCCGCTGGCGGCGGCAGACTCGAGCAACCGCAGGTGTTGGGCTTTCCTCCCACTAATGAGCTGCACAGCCCGGGGCAATTAACTTTGTTCTCAGGACTGTAGTTTCCCTACGTACAGAACGAGCATCGGCAACTGCTTCCCTTTGTAGAGCGCCACAAGAGCCTCAGGTCAGAAAAAGAGGCAGTAGCGCGCATAGCTACGGCCAGGTCTAGCACCCAGAAATACAGACTTCTTCCTAGAACGAAGGAGATTATCTCAGAACAACGGCCCCACGGACATTTATCTCCCCTTGCGAGCCCGCTCCTCCCTGCTGCAAGCAGCTGGCAAGAGATACCCCCTGTATCTCCGGCCGCGTCCTTTGGGTGGGCTGAAGCCACCGGTCGCCGGGCCTTTCTTCGGCTGGGCGGCTGGGTCTTTTTTTTTT